CCCGGAGCCCAGCGCCCTCTGCCCGCCGCAGCCGCCGGCGCCGCCGTTTCGGGGACGCGAGGGGAAGGGAGCCGCGGCCTGGACTTGCCACCACTGACCCTGGAGAGAAGCTGTACTTGTTTATTTTCCCTTAAGTTATTTTTATATGGTAGCTTTTTCTACATCTTACTCCTGTTGATGCAGCTAAGGTACTTTTTTAAGAAAACAAAAGACTTAAAAGACAATCCTTTGTATTGTAGATAAGAGGAAAAGACTGAGCACGCTCACTTTTTTATATTAATTTTTACAGTACTGGTAAGAATAAAGAAGTATTTGAAACCACCCCTGCTTCCTGTGTTCGCGGCGGCGCCCGCTCGCTGGGGCCCCAGACCCGCGGGGAAGGCTCTGTGATGACATTAGGGACCCACCTGCTTACATGTATTAATAGGGTTGTAACTGTTGACTTAGATGATACCTAATCAGCACACTCTAGATCAGGATGAGAATAGTTAAGCTTCTTGTCTTTTCCATTACCCTTTCTATGTCACTGCTTTTACTCCTGTACAACAGGTTATGCTGAGCCACAGAAGTTCACATTTAGACATGGTGACTTGTTGGGAGGTGGTTGATGCTGGTAGGGAACTGCTCCTACCCAGGCCAGAACAACCGCGGGCCTGAGCGCGTACGGGAGGGAGAGGGTCGGCTTTGCTTGGGAAACACGCTGACGTCTACGTCCGACTGTTTTGTGGAACTTGCCCAGGCTCAGCGAAGCGCGACCAAACTCGCGTTAAGCTACCAAGTTCTGGGGAAGGTGCTGCAAACGCAGGACCAGATTGGGGGAGACGGACCGGCCCCCCTTTCCGCTGATCCGGAGGCTCCTGAGCGGAGTGGGCTGCTGGAGGGGGCGGGGGCGGAGAGGGAGGCTCGGGGTATTCTAAACGCCCGAGTTCTTGGCCTTTGTGGGTCTGCTTTCACTTTCCTCCGTCTCCCGGACAGTGGCATGGAGATTTCCAACGTGCGCATGAATGCACAATAGTAACGTAGATGAAGGGACAGCCCACAGTGTTATGTCCCAGAGGGTCATCTGGACAAACACATAAAGCCCTTTGCCTCCCCCCAGTGAAAGCGGGCACTAGGCACTCTTCATGTCAAGTACTGCGTCTATATTATGTAATTAACGATGGCCCATCGTGACCATATCGTTATAAGGGAGAAAACAGGACCTTTAGTGCCCACAGCTAATAAATTCATGGTGTTAATTTAAATCTCTCCCAACAACGCAGTGTTAACAACCCACCCCTCTTCAGTCTGAGCTTGGCTATCCGTGAGCTAACTATACACTCTGTTCAGTGTCCCTGTAATCACACTCGTTAACTCAGTCACACTTGGTGGACAACATTTTTGTACCTCTGATAAAGCTCTCTAAAATATTTCCCCCAAATACTGAAAGGCAAACAAAAACCCTTGAAGTGCAAAATGCTTAGATTGGACATTTATTGGAGCAGAACAGTAATATAACAATATAGGACGAAGGGTTAAACTTTGCAGTGCATGCTTTGGGGCAATGTTAAAACAAAAACTACAAGAAAACGTGTTGAATCAGGGAAAAATGTAAAAACTTTAAAATTGCAATTGAACAGTTTCTCCTGCTACATTAATACTATTGCTTAAGGTAAATAAATACAAAACGAAGACCTCAAGCTTACATAAAGCTTTATTAACAGTTATGTCCCTAAGTTTGCAGGAAGGTAATAAAAATATATAGAAAAAAGTATTTTGATTTATAGTTTACAAAACCATTTTACTGTCATGTGCCCCAGAAAAATTATAAGTTCCATTTCAAGATGATAAAATACATTCACTTTGCCCATAGTTAACAGCTACCAAACCACCAGCAGCACCCTGGCAGCCACACCGGCCCTCACAGACGCCCCGGAGAAGGAGTGGTGCCTGAAGAGGCCCTTTCTCCCAGAAGCTCGATTTCCTCCAATCCCAGGCAGCTGGTCGGGTGGGTGGTTATGGACTGGACAAAACAATTTAGCCACCCCACCTCCTTTCCGATGACGCTGTTCACTTCATAACCCTGCAGGGATAAAAGGCATGCTGGTTACGGCAAATAGCCCTGCATGTTTTGCTCCCAACAACACAGAACACAGAACACGACTTCAAATAGTTGAGAACAACATGGGTAAGAAAGAAAAAAGAAAAAAAGGGCTGTGATTTATTATGGCAAGTGAAGGAATGAATTTTTTTCTGAAAACAGAATCATGTTTTTACACAAGAACATTTAAAATGTTGATGTTTGTTCGTGGATGCAACGATAAGCCTCTCCCAGCCAGCTGCCCTGGAGAGGAGCGGAGGACGTGCACGGGGACAAGCCCTGTTTATTCGCTGAGAGCGCTGGGGCTGGGCGCGCATCTTGCTTGCAGCTGCCTCCCACTTCCTTTGGGACACTTCCCCAATCTAGCAACACTTCTGGTCAAAGGATTCTCTGGTATGTTGCCCCTAAACTTCCCTCTTCAGTGGGATACTATTTCTTCTAGACTCACACTGAGTGTTGTAAGACGCTTTTTATTCAGGTTCTGTTTTATGGCGGTCAGTTCATCTTGGCCAAGTTTCATCTCTTGATGGAAACACAGACTAGGAAGGTGTGGTATGCTCTCATTAGGCTCTCATTAGTCTCTCTAGATCAAGCATGTCAAACTCAAAAGCTACCACGGGCCAAATAAACGAGGCATGCGGCCTGCGAGTTTAACATGCTTGCTCTAGATCAAACCTCAGAACATTTCTCCCTGGGGCCGAGGTGGGCTAAATACATTGGGATACACGCATCTCTGGCCGTGGAGACGGAAGCCCTAGGAGTAGCGTGTTCTTTCAGAAGCTCCTTTGCTGCCACCTGCAGAGTAACATCAGGAGTATCTCACTTCTCTGAGCCAGACCCTTGACAGATCCCGACAATGGCATTGCTCAGCATGTCTTACAAAGTAGGCCCATGTCTGTGCTTCTCGGTGCCCTCCCATCGAAGGTGAGCGCCACTGCCCTCACCGGTCTAAGCTGGGCTCAGGGACGCTTTTCTGGAACAGCGGTGGACAGGGCACTGAGTTTGTCCCAAGTGTGGCCAGGAAAGGTGCCCGGCGCTTTCTGCCCGCCTCTCTGGGGACCCAGACACATGCTGTGTGGGTATCTGGCCAGAGCCCGGGCAGGTCCCAGCCAATTGGAGCAGGTCCCAGCCATGTGGAGCACAAAAGCCAGGGGGAACCGAAGGCCTTCTGGGGCTCCAGCTCAGCCTCTGGCCCCAGCTGACGCCCACTGGAGCGAGATGAGCTGTCCTGGCAGAACCCCGTCCTGCCCACAGGCCTGTGCACAGGTAAGTGTGGAGGCCACTGAGCTGTGAGATGGTTTGTTGTGAAGCAGGAAATATCAGGATTGGTCTGGGTGTGACCCCTTCCTTCTGCTAGAGGCGGGCATGGTGGCAATGCCTAACATACTAGTGTGATCTGTAAAGAGTTTTCATTGCTCAGGAAAAGTTCGTGTAAGGTCAACAGAGTGGTCGAATGGAGTGACGGGGGAGGGAGAGCTGCTGGGAAGTGATGGAGCTAAAATATCTGACAACAATGGCGGCAAAGGTCTGTCTGCACTTGGGATCATATGTGACACAGACGTCAACTTTAAGCCCATCCCTGGTCACTCATTGAGGGCCACTGCGAGGCCACGAAGGGCCTGCCACCGAGATGGCAGTGACCGGGAGCTGCCAGGTTGCCAGTCTGGACAGCGAGCACAGGGTGTGCAGAAGCCGCCACCACCCCGGGCTGGGCAGGGAGACGACAACAGCCACTTCTCTGTTGGCCATTTAATCGCCTTGCATGCTGTGTGTGTGTGTGTGTGTGTGTGTGTGTGTGTGTGTGTGTGACACAGACACCCAGGCATTCCTCCACTTTTACTTGGGGTGAAAGTACGGAATTCTGACTTGAAAAAAGTCATCAAAAAACCACTTTAAAAAATGTCAGGTTTGGCAGCTACCGTTTTCAATAACAACTCATTTATAAACAAAGATTAAATTGCACATACTTTATATTTGGTGGCAATTAATACAGGTAGGTAAAAATCACACACACCAACAAATGCATCTGTACTCTCATATAAATGTGCTAGTATATGTGCGTATGTGTAAAATGTGTCTCTATTTTTAAAAGGTACGATATATTTTCCTTTAACTTTTCTTTTTCTGAAAGCTAAGGAAACGAAGTCCGAGTTCCATGTCGCTGCAGTGCTACAGTGAACGCACTGACATGTACGAGGACAGCAATCCCATTGCTCTCTCTCCTGTCGCTGGACCCCATTAAAGCGAAGGCGGAACACGTACACTCATGTATCCTACCCAGAGGCAGTGCCTTCATTCCAGGGCATGGAGTTATGGTTCCACAGAAAGTCCTATGTGATTCTCTGGATTCTGGCAAATGTGCATTCACACAGAAAACAGATAGAATCCAGACTGGAAAACGCATGGCTGATGTCTACACGTAAGTCCTTTGTAAAAAAAAATTAAAAAAAAAATCCTCACCTGAGGATATGTTTATTGATTTTAGAGAGATAGGAAGAGGGGGGGGAGAGAGAGAGAGAGAGAGAGAGAGTGTGTGAGAGAGAGAGAGAGAGAGAGAGAGAGAGATGGACCTGTTGCCTCCCATACGTCCCCTGACTAGGGATCAAACCTACAAGCTAGGTGTGTGCCCTGACCAGGAATCGGATGCTCCAACCACCTGAGCCACACCAGCCAGGCACACACACAGTCCTTTTAATCATCCTCCGCCAGCTGCGTTCCGGGTCAGATGTGAAGCACTGGTCCCCTGTGAGTAGCGCTGGCGGTAGGGGCGAGTTCACTGAGATGCCCCTCAGGCTTGGCATTTGCCTTATTTCCTGGTGTCAGCTCTGAGAGTACCTGCAACGTTGGCACCTGAAGCTATCACAACCGGCGCCCCTCATCCAATGCACACACTCTAGCACACACAGCTGTACGAGACACACACATGAACACTCAAGTACACACACATGCTCTTTTGAGCTCTTTTAGGATTTTTCATAAAAGCACTGCAATTGCGGAGTCTGATGTGTGGGCAGTACCATCAGAAGGAAATCAATGGATAAGAGCATTCCTACAGACCTCCCCTGGTCCCCGCTCCTGTGGAGAGTAGCTGTCCATTCCTGGAGGCCGCCCGGAGGAGGCAGGCCGCTGGGTGGGAGCTGCAGGACCGAGTGGGAGGCAGGCCTCGCGGAGGCCGCCCGGAGAATGCAGGCGGACCTGGGCCTGTCTGGGTGGAACAGCAGGTGCGTTGTGCAGCACTCCC